CATCTACACAAAAGTTTTGATGTCGAAAAAGCGAGAGTAAAAATCCCTTTGTTTTGCTATTGCATGTATAATAACTTTAAAAGTAATGAGGCTACACAAAATCTGATAACAGTTTTGGAATCTACAAGAAAAAATATCTCTGTGGCTAAATTTTGGAAACCCTAACTTGAAAACTAACGAAAAAGTGTTTTCGAGTAGCGTCTCCCCTTAAACATGTCCACGAATTGGACACCACAAGAATAGCTCCCCAGGATGCATTCCGGAGGTGTGTGGTCTGTTAGAAAGAACCCGTGGTAAGTCTGTATTCTCTTGCAGAAGGAGGCATTCGGTTGGTATTCTGGAACTGAAGCGAGGTGGTAGGCAGGTGGGTGAGCAAGGTGCCTAATATGCACTGCAAGCACCTTCAGAGTAATGGCACATTGTGGCTGGATGATCTTTGGCGGTTGTGATGTTCTCCGCTGTTGATGTGCAACGGGGCAATCCAAGATAAACTCCGAGTGCCTGGTATTGGGCGTTTTCGATTGTGCCTACCATATTTTCTCGCATATAAGCCGCACCCCTAACTTCGATATCCGTGGAAAAAAAAAAAAAATCTTTGCGTATAACTCGTATGCTTAGCTTTAAAAAAAAACTGTTTTGAGAAGGCACAACTGCACCACACATCACAATCTCGTTTACAAAAGAACTTTATTTCGAAGTGATCGCCACAATGTTGACGGTGCCGATTCCTGTTCCTTCAATCATCGCTCGATTCGCCGCTGTCACTGCTGCCATCTGAGGCTTCGTTGCCGCTTTTGAAGACGCAGTCGTCTTCAGTGCCATCCAAGCAATTGCATATGGTGCACTTTTTGAAGCTCTTGCGCACCATGTGTGTCAGAATCGCCCTCCACGATCCACTGGCACAACAGCACGTATGACCTCCGCACGCATCTGGTTGGTGTCAAGGCGTAATGGCCGTCGGCCATCCACTCGGCATACAGTTGCTTCACGTGCACCTTGGAATGGCTTCTTGAGGCACACGTCTAGTGGCTGTAGCACGGAAGTCATGCCGCCGGGTATGATCACGAGGTTAATGCGGGAGCCAGCGAGGCGTGCTTTCACTGCGCCAGTGCAATGGCCTTGAAACTAGTCCAACATAGCATCAACCATCGTGCCATCATGGCGCCCGGACACTTCTTTCAGATCGTGCGAAGCCGGTCACAGATGAGGTCACCATTCATCCACGCATTATCTTCGGTTCGCACAACAATTTCTGGTGGCAGTGGAGTGCTGGGTAGCATTTTGTGCTTGAAGATTACGTACGGGCGCACTTTGGTTCCGTCAGCCAAAGCGCACAACATTACTGTGCAGCGGAGTTTGGTGTTTTCGCCAGTCAGTACGCTTACAGATTACTAGTCCTTTTTCGGCAGAGTGGCGTCCATGGTCATCTCGAAGTACATAAGTGTTTGTTCAGCATTTCTCAGCGAAGAGAGCTAGTAGTTGTGGTCCTTCTGCAGCCCAATGATGTAACCTTCGTAGCTCAACAGCTTATGCTCTTAGGCGTTGGGAAGTTGCTGGCACATTGTCGTTCGCTGCCGCATTGAAAATCTATGCCTGGCCATGAGTCGCTAGAGCCACCCAAGGCTCGCACGAAACTCGCATAAGATGTTCATTTTGCGGGCCAACTTCAGCGCTTTCATTTGTGCCATTTCTGTTGACACAGCGTGGCCGGGACTCCTCCGCTCCTCAATAAATTTTGACAAGCTGGGTCTCAAAAAGGGGGTATGCACCAGTCTTTGGACCGTGAAATGCTCGCTTCTTGCGTGCACTTTCAAGAGAGGCCTTTTTTTCTTTTTCTTTTTCAATAGTCCGAATGCTGGACTCGTCGACGTCGTGCCTCCTCGCAGCAGCTCTGTTGCCAATTTCTTTCATAGAAGCTTTAATCCTAAAGTTTTCTTTCACGCTGAAAGATTGCCACCGAGACCCACTCCTGGTGCCTCACCGGACAAGGCTGACCAATGGTGCAAATTGGCGACACCTGACTTGGAGAAAGACGCTGTCATATCACTGTTGTGACGCTGTTGACCAAATCAAACAAAGCAGGTAAAAAGTGAATAAACACGTTACGGAGGGCATCTGTGATGGCCTGTGTTGGCTTTGGCTTTGCATCAGACGATGCCAATGGGGATGCATACTGCATGGGAGGCCATGCATTGTTACGAAGCCGACCTCTGCCTCCGTATTATTAGCAGATAACCCCCCACCCCCACTTTTCAAGCAATCTTTTTCAATTTTTGGTGTGGGTTATATGCGAGAACATACGGTACACTGGTTTTGCAAGCGTTTCTCAAAATTGGCAAGCTGTACAACAAGTATCTAAGAAACAGCGTCCTGTAGGGCTGCAGCATCGCGTACAGTGACATGCCCCATGTTTTCACTCAGATAAATTGGTGAAGGTGGGCTATGGCTGTTAGGCACTTCTTTAGAGTGGCCACATGGCGACTCCAGCAGAGATTTCAATCGAAGGCGACACTAAAGAACCTGTGTGTCTTCACGTAAGAACATTTTTTTCATCCATGGTGATAGAATTCACTCCAACCTCGATATAAAGAACCTGAATGTAATGAAGTACCGGTTATAACGAAGTAAATGAGAAATAGTCTTGCGATAGATACAGTCGACGATCGATAATTCGGACTCTACGGGGAACATAAATAAGTCTGAATTACTGAATGTCCAAAAAGCTGAATGTGTGGAAATAAAGTACTCCTATTGACGCTTCAGTGACCCGGAGGCCGTAAAAAGCTCTCCATGCGTTGCTGCACGCACTGCCGCTTACGTGCGACCAAGTCCGTGTGTACTTCCGCCAGTGTGGTATGCTCGCTATAGGACAACGAAAGAATTGCGAGGGCTTGAGACAGGTCTGCATGTGTCGGCTGCGGTGCACACAGTGCTACGTAATCATTTGAGTCAGAATCACTGTTTGGCGATTGCAGAACCTGCCCAATTGTTGTCATTCAATTCTGCACACGACGACACAGTGCTGTCGACGTTCACAAAGTCATCAAACGTAACTGCGTCAGGAATCGGCACATCAGTTTCGCAGGTTGTCGATAACTTTTGTATTTGAGCCTGTTGTGCTGGGCGGCAGGTCCGGCTCTTCATTTGCACTGTCGAGTTCACTACGGAACGAGAATCCAGCGTGCCGGAAACAGTTGCTAGTCATGCCTGCCGACACTGCCTTCCAGGCATCGGCAAGCATACTGACGGCTGGCATCAAGTTGACGTTGTATTTCATCTGGCTCTCTAGGCACAGCAACACACGCTGCAGAATACGTGAACAATAGAACACCTTCATATTCTTTGACAGCTTGGTCTATCCGCTGTAAAATATTGGTCGTACTCAGTGGGAGGTATTTCAGCTCTATGGCTTTTAGGAAACGTAAAACGACTTTTATACAGAATGAATAGTGAAATATTGAAGCCGGGGGGGGGGGGGGGGGGCGCAAATTCTCCGGCGCCACAATGTGATTCTTTGACCTCTGCTTGCACAAACCGCTTAACAAGGCCAACGCGCCGTGCTGCGTTGACCCTGTTGAGCATAGCCATCTTTTTTTTTTCTTTCGACCAGTGTTGCCAGCACATGAAGCGTTTATGGAGTTGCGAGTAGGGTGCCCCGCTGCGGTGGTCTAGTGGCTAAGGTACTCGGCTGCTGACCCGCAGGGCGCGGGTTCGAATCCCGGCTGCGGCGGCTGCATTTCCGATGGAGGCGGAAATGTTGTAGGCCCGTGTGCTCAGGTTTGGGTGCACGTTAAAGAACCCCAGGTGGTCTAAATTTCCGGAGCTCTCCACTACGGCGTCTCTCATAATCATATAGTGGTTTTGGGACGTTAAACCCCACATATCAATCGAGTTGCGAGTAGGGTGGTTGGGTAGGCTGTATGATGCCATGATTGATCAGGAAGTCTGTGATGGCAAAGGCAGTGTGGCAGGGCATACTGTCGTGATGGCGCCTCCATGATGCAGTGATATCTCACAAACTGCTCTCAATCTCAAGTTTTTGGGCACAGTGCACAATAGTTTTTGGCAAGTTTAATTGTTCTGATATCATTCGCACATCCTATCTGTGGCCAGCATTCGAGATTTTGAACTTTCACAAAATTTTTGTCACTTCTGCACATTCAACGGTGTCTTAATCGTTTCACATCCTCAGCTTGGTCTCTTCAGTACCGAAACAATTTATGCCACTTGGACGCACTTGATCGACCCATGCCGTCTCTCCCATCAGCAGTCTACATTACGCCGTGTGTCTCATGCACATTTTTACCCAGTTTTTTGTAAAACTTCACTGCGTAATGCTGCTCTAACAAATTGTTCATTGGGGAGATGACATAGCGTCTCAAAATTAGGTTCACGTTTGATTCGATCTGCGCTCTACGAAGGCTTGGAAGATCCTGGTTTCTGGTAGCAAAACCTTTCTGCCACCCAATCAGTTCTCCTTTCTCCCTTCTGGTGTAAAAAATCAGTCCCATTACTTTCCGTGCAAACCCAGTGTAAAGGGAACGACACACACTGTATACTTGGGCTCCCTGTTAAGGGATGTGTGCTTTGTTACTTGCAGGTAAACGGAGGGAGTTTAAGCACCTGTGCTTCCCGAACTGTAAATTGCTGAGCGGAGTATAAAAGCACCAAATTAAAACGCACTGCACTCAAACCTCATTATAACAAAGTTATATCTTGCAGCAAAATAAGTTCTTTATATCCAAAATTTCGTTATAAACATATTTTAATGCTATATTTGTTGCAAGACTATTCTCAATTTACTTTGTTATAACCAATGTTTTTTTAATATCTGAGTTCGTTATATGGAGGTTTTAATGTATTCTCATTCTTGTGTCTGTGAAATAAGTACTTATATGAGTCATATTTGAACGATGATTCTGATTTATACTCAAAACAGTCGTCGGTCTTGCTTACTGTGGAAGCAGTTTGCAATAGTCTAATGTGTTTGCTCTCTGCAGACGCGTCCCCAGCGTGAGAACAAGTCAGCGGGTGGGCGGCGTGTGAGCAGCCTGGAAGCGGCCGCCAAGGAGGGCGAGGCTCTTCTCAAGGAACTTGGCCACAAGGACAGCAGCGACCCCGACAGCGGCCGCAGGCGCACGCGCTCACAGACGCGGGGCACCCCACCTGCTCCCCCGGCTCGGCAGCAGCGCCAGACGCGGGCTGTGAGTGTTGCCTCTGTATCATCTTGGTGCGAGTGTGACTCTGCAGTTGTTCCAGTCGAACCCCGCTGCAACGAACGCCGCTTTAAGGAAATTCTCGCTACAACGAAAAATTCACGATTCCCTGTCAGTAGTCCATAGGAGTCAATGCATAAATATTGTCGCCACAACAAACACTTTTTCTTCTGTCGTCCCGCTTCAATGAAATTTCACGATGCGATTCCGGGCTCAGATATTCATTGCTATATAGTAAGCCCAATCTTTAATATTTTGATACATTTTCAGAATCTGAAAATATGTCGACGAAGTCTAAAACACGCGTTGGCATCACCCATAGAGTTTCATACAATAATACCTTGAAAGAAATGTGGTGCTGCGATCGTGTACCTCTGTGGGAATTATGGGAAGCACAGGCTTCGAATAGGATAGAGTTAGATAGCGAACTGTCTACAGACTTGTTTTTACAGCTTCAGTTTCGTTCTTCACTCAGTGCGGGTAGTGGGGTGCGGTAAAAAGCGCTGAAGCAGTGCCTTTGTTGTTCAAAGAGGCTGAAAACCGCTAGTTCTGAAGTTTGCTTCGACGTTGCAGCTTTACGAGTCGTACTTCATAGTTAGTTTAAACAAAGCGTCGTCCACTCACCGCTGAGCATAGATGTAGCGTCTCATGCCAGTGCAGGATGTTGCATCGAGTTCATGTTTTTTCATGAGCGCGTCTTGCCTAAACTCATTTAAATCTACTGCAAAACAACGACGAAGCTAAGTAAACGCACCGTCGCGCTCCTCTGACTCGACTTCACAACAGAACCAGAGGTGCGTTGGGGGCAGACCACTTGGACAGATGCACCTAGCATCACCGAATACGAAAGCTTAAGTGTTTCTGTACTGTACCGTTATTTCCATAAATAATTCATACTTGGAGAGAAAAACGAGCTTGTTTGTTTTCAAGTGTAGTAAAAATTAATGTATTAAATCTTGATGCCAAATCTGGAACGCAGTGGCAGAACAATGCACACCCTGATGATTAAATGTGCCCAGGCTTCACTTTTGCTGCCTTGTCACGAAAAACATTTTGCAACAAAGTTTGCATACACACAAACAATGCAAGTTTCAATTAAATACAGGTTCGTATAATTTTGTTTTACACTTTGAAAAAAAGCGTCGCAAATCTTAAGAGCGTAATCCATCCGAAGCGAATCCGAAGCCTGTACTTCCCATAATTCTCATGGGTGTACAAGCACCGCTGAAAGAGCCCACGTAGACACTAGTGCCAGATTCCCCTCTAGGTATTATTGTATGAAACTGTATAGCACCACCAGAAGCTATCACTGTTCAGCAAGCATGGGCGCCCCCATTGCTCGATAGCGAAGGCAATGAGACTGCCCTGCTTTTGCCAATGGCAAAAGCAGGGCAGTCTCATTTCCATTGCCATTGTTATCGAGCAATGGTGGCGCCTATGCTTGTTGAACAGCGGTGATTTATGTTAGTGCCGTTGCGTGTTTTAAGACTTCGTGGGCGTTTTAAGGTTCTGAAAATGCATCAAATGTTAAAGATTAGGTTTACTGTATAGCTGCAGACAATCCGAAGCTGAAGTTCTGTCGCTCAGTAGTTGATGGTTTCCTTCACGCAGCTGCTGGGTGCAACCACGGAACGATGCCTTTTCCGATTCCGATGCTTATCATTTTATTCATGCTTGGCCAGTGTGGAAACTAATCAGAGCGGCTGTTCTTCCGCATTATCAACAAAATCAGCTAGCCGCGAGTGATGGATGATAAGAATGGCATAAAATAAGGCAAACGTCACCGCTTTACGATACCCTGCTGCCATCTCGGCGTTTCGACGGAGGGCAGCTGCTGGTGTTAACGTGTTAATGCAACTGTTTGGTTCGTTCACAAAAGCGGTTGTAATCATTGTTTCAGCATGCTTTTCTCCATGGCCTCGCTATGCATGGGTGAGAATCGCGTCGTGGCACTGCTAGGATAGAATAAAAGGTAGCAGACATTTTTTAATTTTGAGAATAAACGTTCTTTTGGTTTGTTAGATCAGATCGGCTATATTTTTTTTTATTTCACTACAACGAAATTTTTTCTGCGCCCATTCAGTTTCGTTGTAGCGGGGTTCGACTGTACCTGTTTCTTGAGAGCAGGAGATAATGGGAAGAACTGGATGTGTTGGAGCCTGAAGGTTGCCAGAAGTTTATTACGGGAGCCGTACGAATAGCCAAATTTTCAATGCAAAGTGAATTCGAATATTGAAGTATCAGTGCGAATCGAATCAAATATTTTTAGTATAGCTGTGGTGGGAAACCTGCGCCGATTGCGCCAACTGGAAATTACTGCTCCAAAAGGGTCTTTCTTGAATACTTTGTGCCATTGCTGCGCCACAAGGAGGTGTTGGAACCAAAAGTAATGTTGAAGGCACACATCGTGATTGCATTATTACGTGATGGCCGCTGTTTTGTACACTTGTGCTGCTGCAAAAGCCCGGAATTGGCCAATCAATCATATCAACTTTCCACAGGATTGTGGCAGTGCCTTTTCTGGTAACCATGGGTCAAGAACGAAGGCGATGTGGTGACTAGTGAAAAGCGTGCCAATATGTTATATTGCCTACTACATGCGTTTAATAGCCGGCGACTACCTGTGAGCGCTGAGGCGCCGATCGCTGCTGCCTCAATCGTTGTGCGGGACCATGTTCAGCAGGCACCGCTTCGCAGAAACGAAGGCAGCTCGCTGTTGCGAAGTTGAGTGTTGATCGTGGGCACCAAGACTGCAAACGTAGTGCACGCTTTCATCAGTAGACAGCCTAAACGTGCCTTTTTCTGCTGCCAGGACTGCTAGAGCATAGCTTTCAGAAAGCTCGCATGGTCACGTTATTGCAACAGGCTGCATCTGTGCACAGCAAGTGGCTCGCCATTGTGTGTATGACAAGTAAGCGAAGCACTGCACGCAAATAACCGATAAAAGACAGGTTGCATGCAACCGTACCGTGTCTAAAAAAAAAAAAACTGTCATCACTTAATGCTTGTAGTATATAGCGGTCCACATTTATCGCAGAGGGACGATTATTATGTTCGTTTCGTCGCTATGTCAGTCGCTTCGTTGGCTGTGTATCCCGGACTCTGCAGTAGTTTCGAAATGCTCCTTGATGTCGCCACCACGTGCCATCGAACTGTCGCGCGAGAGTACCAATAATTTCTGAACATTGGCAAAAATTTTTTAAATGACTTCGTGGTGGGCACTTTAGGCAATATTTGCCGAGGCACTGTAGTTATTTCGTCGGTGATGGCATACGTAATCAAATAAAAATCGGTTCTTTATCACAGGCGAGCGCAAGGGGGGGTGGTGAGTTGAGTGCAAAGTCAGCTGCATACGTTGACATTATAAGGAGGGTGGGGCAAGAGGGAGGGAGCAACGCCAGCCACACGTATTGACATACAGTGAAACCTCCTTAAACGGTAATTGGCCGGAGCTCGGAAAAAGTACATACTACACGATAGTACTTCTAACCGGAATAGCGTCAGGTAGTGCAATGAAAGAACCAAAAAACGTGCAGTAATTTATCAACTTCACGTAACAAAGTCTGTTATCTTCATTTGACGACACAGCGGCCTAGAAGCAACGACAGCGGCCTCAAACTCACTTATGCTGCGAGCCAGCTTTTTTGCCAGCCCCCTCTTCTCGACAAACACCCGCATGACGCTGGCGCAATGCGCAGCTTCGGCCACTGTTGGACCTGTATCACCCGTGTTGTCGCTTTTCATGTCGTCCTCATCACTATCATTTGGCGACACTTCGACAACCGAGGCAACAATGGCTTCGTCGGACAAGTCCGGAGATGTCTGCACATCGCTGTCTGCATATCTGAAGTCGGGGAAAGAAATGCCTTCCGTAATGCCCTGCCGCTCCAGCACTTCAGCTAGCAGAGTTTCGCAAGCTTGGTCTACGATGTCCGAAGTCTGGTCGATGGTGTCACTAGCGTCATCTGTGTCGCCCGCACACACACTGAAGCTAGCACGCTTGAAACGATTTTGAACTGTCGTTGCTTCAACCTGCCGCCATGAGTATTCGAGCAGGTGAATTGCGCCAGTAACTTCGATGGAGAATAATTTGCCACATTCAATGGCGAGAAGAAAGCTGTGCAGCAGATTTTTCTTGTAGAGCTGTTTTACAGCTCGAATAATGCCTTTGTCCAAGGGCTGGGCAATCACTCGTGTGTTTGGTGGCAGAAACACCAACTTCACAGCCATCGGGTTGTCCAGGGCGACGTGTGCCGAAGCGGTCTAAAATAATAACAACTCTTCTGTTCTTTGCCGCAAAACGACGACGATAGATTAGGCGCACGCACTCCTCAAAGAGTTTTGCCGTTATCTATGCTACGGTATTGCTGCGATAGATGACCCCTGATGGCAATCGGGTGCCTTTGAAACATCTAGGCTTCGCCGACTTTCCAATCACAAGGAAGAGAGTTTTGTCAGTTCCAGTCATGTTTACGCAAAACGCTACTGATATTTTGTCCTTTGCATGCTTGCCGCCGGTGCATGCCTCGCCTTTGAACGCCAGCGTATTTCTGGTAGCTGCTTAAAGAATTGCGTCGATTCATCCATATTAAGGATGTTATCAGGTGCGTAGTCTTCAAGATGTTCTTCAGCTGACCATTTTGCCACTGCTCCGCGCCATCTATGTCAGCAGCAGCACCTTCTCCCGAAACAGTCCTCGTGGTAATGCCGTGCCTCACCTTGAATCTGGCCAGCCAGCCATTGCTGCACATGAGGTTGTCATGGTTGAGCTGCAAGGCAAAAACCAGGGCCTTCTCCATGAGCAAGGGTCCGCTGATGGGCAGATTTTTCAACCGTGCAGCTTTCAGCCACTTCACCAGCGCCTCCTCTACATCCCAAAGCAACAAACCGCGTAGTCAGCACCTTTTCGCAGTTGCAGCAGCACTGCCGAGCAACTTCTCTCTGGAATTCCAAATTCCACACACCGTGGTCTTTTTCGCATGCCAGTG